TATTAACTCCTGGAACCTAACTTCATCGCTAACTAAACCAAGCCACTGCTAAATTCAAGTCTATGTGAAAACAATCAGGATGGAATTACAGGTCACCTCCTGGTGAATAGAGTGGATATCAAGGAAGGACCGATTTCATTGATCTTTCAAAGTCATCGGGGAGATGGTTCTCTTGAGTCGCGATATTATGATTACTGAAAATGAAGTGAGAGCATTTAGTCACCGATAGGCTCTATGTAGATGTCTTCAACACTTTACGGGATGAACTACAGAACTCAACTGATGAATAAATCTTAATTGCAAGTTAATCCACAAAAGTTTAATACAACTGTGATTGGATGAATGATGCATAGAGCGTAACTGAGAGTCATGGATCACTGGACGTCTGTTTAAGCCTTGCTTAGGACTCTTGATCCGTGCACACTAGCGAGCCCGGCACCTTTGGTTTATGAGGCCATGCTCATTGACCATCCACAGCCACTTGGGCTTGAATTCAATGAATCATGAATTCTGACTTCTATCTAATGGTGATATGGTGCTACACTCAATCAGCGCCTTCGATAACCATTCACTTCCTACTGATATGGTGGACCTCACTGGTCACTACTTCTCTGTGCGGTTTAAGGACATCTATCTGTCAAGTGGGTTTTCTGAATTCCATTGGTACTTGAGCTTAATTGTACGTGAAAAATTATTTCTATAGATGTAAAAGAAGGTGTATGGAACGAAAACTCGGTCAATGAAGCGTTGGAATCGTAGCGGTAGGTACACCGTCGTGTCACGTTCGTTCGTTCGTTCGTGCACTATCTCTAGCTAGTTAAGCAATCATCTCGCACTCCGATTTGGTGCCGAAATATAGCTCGTAATTCGGACTGTCAATTCTCATGTTTTGCTTTGCCTTTGGTCTACGCGGAACGAATACCATAGAAGTTGTGGATATTAGATCCTGCGTTAGTATACTTCGTACTATCCGTGATGGTCAATACCTTCAGTCTCTAAAGAATGTTTATGTTGCATTCCGGAGTCCGGATTTCATACGTGGAGATTCGAATACCCCGGAAGGCGTGATGATTCTATTCTTCCCAATATCTTATTTTGCCTTCGAGATTCGACTGTATGTCTTAGCCAAATCTGTTTTCAAAAGGAATATTTGCACAAGATAATGTTGCCGTTAAGTCAGGTATGGGAGGCAGTGAGTGATGCCAAGGGTGAGCATATGGTCAAATTCATTTCCAGGAAGTTGTCGTTCTCTGGATGCCACAGGTCGTCCGGAGGTTTTGATTTGATGCATAGCATTGCTGGTTATGCACGATAGGTCGTTAGAAGGGCAACTGAGTTCTGGGTGCTTGTCAACAATGGGCTGAAATGTTGGATCGACTACCGACTTCGTCTCAACCAGTGACAGGCTGTGACCTAAGTAGGTGATACCTTTAATAGACAGTCTTGTGTAGCCATCTGCCAGCCGTTTTCAACGGAAATCTACCAGCAGATTATGATGATTAAGTCGGTCCCTGCCTACGATAGGCATTGTGACATCAGAAAGGAGGAAAATCCACTGAATAGGTTTGCGTAAACCTACGTTCAGATAGACGCATTTCCAACCAAATGTTGCAACAAGTTTTCCATTTGCAGTCTGTAAGTTGAAGGTAGGTTCCTTCTGTCGATCTGCTGCTGTAGCAGGAAGAACGCTGATTTCGGTACCTGTGTCAGCCAAGTACCAGTCTTCGTTAACTACATCGCGGATGGAATTTAGTTGAGGAGAGGTGAATGGTGAAACAAAAAGTGAACCAGTGTTAAGCTGGCCAAGGGAAGAGGCTGAGTTCAATGTAAATCGCACAGTGTAAAGAGGTGAAGTGGGAAGACAGGTAAAAGACAATTCCACAATATGCTGGCAACTGGAACTGATAACTTCAGAGGGCGCCTGGGTTGTTCCTCATCAAGAAATACCACGAACAACATTCTCAGAACTTTAAGTGGATACGGGTCCCATAAAAGAAGCGGAAATCTTGAATGCATTCAAGCTACTGAAGTCTGGAAAAGCAGCAGAACCAGACGGAATTCCCCCAGAACCACTGAAAACGGCCCCGGAGACTGCACACATAGGCTGACGCCATTATTTCAAAAGGTTTGTACGGAAGAAAAGGTGCCCACTGACTGGAAAATAGTCTACCGTTTCAAGCCATCAAAGAAGGGCAACTTGGGCCTCTGCAAGAACTAGAGTGGAATCATGCTCTTAACCACGCCAAGAGGAATGGTAAGTCATGTCATCCTGGGGAAAATGAAGGATTCAGTGAATGGTTACCTCAGTCTAGGACAAGCTATTAGGATTCAGGGACAGAAAATCACATGTATGAACTAAACTGCAACTCTGCACATCATCATTATCACACTGAGCATGGGATGGCAATCAAATCTCCACCTCAGCTTCATCGACTTCGCAATGGCTTCCGACAGGAATGGCCGCGAAGTATTTCCGAAACGGATTCAATACTACTGAGTGGCCCAAATTATTACCAGCCCCATTCTACAAGTTTGTGACAATGTAAGATGTCAAGTGGTCGACAAGGTAGGCTTTTGAAATGATGAGAAGAATGTAAGACAAGGCTGGCTACCATCACCGATGATATTCCTAATTGTGGTGGACTGAATCAGGCGACAGACTGTGAGTGTGGAGCTAGAAGACAGGAATATGTTGGGCCGATAAGAAGACTCTATAGGACCTGGAATCCCCATTGATGACATTAATTCGAGGAATTCCAGGTGAAAACCAATAAGCTGGGAGAAGTGAGGCTGGCAGAACAGGACAAGAATTCAAGTGAATACAGGGAAGACAAAGGCAACGAAGATAGCCAACCAGTTATAACAACAGGTACCAATCACTGTTAACGGAGTAAATTTGAAGGAGGTTACTCACCCCCGTCACTCGTGTTGCTAAGCAGCATAGTTTCAAATAAGGGCAGGCAGGAACGCAAGCGACAGCATAGATGAGAACGTCAGAATTAGTCGGAACAGAAAAGGCAAGACAGACCTTCATCACTTCAAAATCAGTTTTGGGAATCTTCTCCACTGCGCCTCAGCATAAAGAAGGAAATCCGGATTTCCAACACTGATGTTAAGTCAGTCAGCCATTTCTTCTATATTTGTGAGAACTTGGAGTTGGTGTCACGAATAGCATTTGGAATAGGCTGCTGGAAGCTATTACCAACAGCTGCTTTCACTGGTTCCATATTCAAGATGACATGGCCGGTCTAAAGAATTAGCAACAAGAAACTCTGGGAACGAATCAACCAAGGATCTATTATCCAACCAACAGTTATGGAGAAGGAAATGGAGATGAATCGGAATCATACAGAGGAGACAATTGGATGACATTGGTTACCAGACAATCACCCATATGGAACTGGAATGGGTTGAGCGTCCAGATGTGACCTGGAGGACATCATGCTTGGAGGAGATGGAAGACTACGGGTAATTTTGTGTCCGACTAAAGAGAATTGTAGAGAATAGGGTGAAATGGAGACGTGATGTTAAACCCCTATGTTCCAGTCGAAACCCAATGGAAAAATAATAATTCTATAATAACATAGCTGCATACTTCCAGATGCCGATAATCTGCTGCTTCATGTCATTCACGAAACTTATTCGCATTGGACTAATATATACTTTTTTATTCTCTATTTGAACGTTTTCTGTGTTGATATTAAACTGCCTAAATTTTTGCGCGGCTGCTAAGAACTAATGATGTTTGTGACGGCATTTCATCCAACTCAGTGTGTTCTTCTTGCTTAATCATGAAATAATAAGTAAAGAAAAAGGAGGAAAAACCCAAGATGGATAGGTGAAAGGCAATCTTGTTGAGAAGGAGAAACTTTACTCCAAGATCGACCATGGTAGAAAGAGCATCTGGACGGAACATAAAACTAGTTTATTAACGAAAGGCTAGCAAATCAGTAATCCGTTATGGAAGACTAACGTTTATGAGAATGACCCTGAAATACGTCTCCCTGTGAACAACCATAGTTTGGCGGTATATTTCCCGTAGTCATAACCCTCAGAGTAGAGCTTTTTGGCCACTTATCTACTTACCATACATAATTGGGAAATGAGAGCATTCTCAGGGATAGTTATCGACAGTGTTGAGTTCTGAATGTTTTACATACAGATGGGGAAATGACTGCTTCTGGATAAAACTTAGGTTTATTTTTCGAATGGTGTAAGCAGTGCTTCTTTTAAATAAATCTAAATAAGTGCGAAGTTATTCATCACACTGATAACTACACTGACAATGACTCAATGATGGATTTCCTCCACTAACATTCGCGAACAGTTATAGAGTATAAAGACATGGATTTGGTTGTTAACGTTAGTCAAAATTTCACTGGAAACTGAAGAACAGCTCTCGAGAGGGAATACTATGTGCTGTCGATAATGAATTTGTGTACTCTGATGTTGGCATAACTCGCATGTTTTACCCAACCTAATTTAAATCTTAATCAAAATATGAAATCCAGACTGTGAGCTCATGTTGTAAATACAAAGTGGAATTGTGAGAAACAGATCGGAGAAGAAATTGGTCGTGAGACTTTCGAACTTTCAATATAAGGTGTTGGATAGATATATTTCCACTTGCTTGCTTAGAATAAGGTAATATAATATGAGCATCCCTTAAATGATCTAGGTAATAATTTATCCTGTTTAGTTCTCTCTCTTGTAGAGCCGATATCTAACGAGAACATTAGCATAATTTCAAAATCCACAGTCGAATATTTAACTTCTCTGATCTCATTTGTGACATCTAACTGCAAACCTGTAGGATTCGCTAAGAAAGTGTGCCGCTTCAGTACCTTCTGTTTATTCATCAAGTGTGGGATTTGACTTAAAGTACACACTAAATAAGATAAGCCTAGAGATCACTGTCCAAAATAGCATAAACCATAGGCGGAAAATTTGAGCTGAAGGTCGTCTGTTCGGTTACCGTTGAACTGTAAAATATCCCTCAAATGCAGCGTCTAGATGATTCAGAATTGTCAAAACCACCTTCAGAGGTGCTAGAAATTATTTGCAAACTGGGTAAAGGATCGTACGGGAGTGTCTACAAAGCTCGGTACAAAGCTAATGGCGGAATAGTTGCAGTTAAAAAGGTGAGTTTTGTAAATCCTCGGTATTATTGTCTGGTTTCCTGTTCATGCTGATAAGCGATATATTTTATTCAGCACATTAAATGTTTTTAAAATGGTAGTTTTTATTGTTGTTTAGCTGTATTACCCAAATATGAAAAATGGGTGGTAATGAAGAATTCTTGGCTAGGGATAATTGGGGCAAGCTTATGCAGAATTTGTCTGAAATTTGACGTTCACCTCGAAAGTTTGTCGAGATTCCCCTAGATACTTACAGAAACTCCTAAGCTCTTATATAGGGTCGTAACATTCTCATGATCTTTGTCAAAGGTCAGTTATCACGTGAAAACGTATATTTGTTGTCTCTTTTTCATTGCGATGTGTTTAATTAAATAATTAATAATTTGAATAATAAGCCTTTCATTGTTTACAAAACATATTGTGCTTTCATTCTGCACACATCATTGAATTTTAGTATATCTGGCTGTCTGTTTTTGACATAGAACTACGCACCGAAGTGTAGCAGTTCAAGTCACCACACTCCATGTAGCACCCAAAGCAAGAGAAGAAAGTAGTAGAGATGTAAATAGAGTCAAAATAACTAGTAATATGGAAGAACAAAATATTTTTATTGGGTATTATAAGTCACAATGCTTGGATGCATCTGCGCTATTGAGAACGATTTTGAGCCATATCACCGACTATCTTCAGCCATTGGTGTTTAGCGTCATGAGGTCCCCAACCAGGAAGTCTACACCGTCCTACGTGACTGGCTTAAACTAACTTGTGGATTTCATTGACTGATGAAGCCATGTTTTCCAACCTGACCCTATATCAGCTAACATTGCCCGTCGAGTAAGACGATGGCATGCGTAACACATGTCCTAACCATCTCAGTCGATGTAATTTCACAGTCTCGTCGACTAATTTCCCCTCCTTACCTAGCACTCGACCGATGCCTAACCTCAATATTGCTCACCCACTTCACGCGGGAGATAGAACGCAGAAACCTATGATCAAAGATAGCTAATCTTTTCATGTCTTCCGCTCTCAATGGCCAGGTCTCACAGCCATAAAGGAGGACGGAGCGGACTGCTGAGCAGTACACACGCCCTTTGGTCGATAGTCGGATATCACGTCTACCCCAGAGACGGCGTAAACTGGCATATGCGAAACTAGCCTTCAGTATCCGAGCTGAGATTTCGTCAGAGATCAACCCGTTGCGGTTGATGGTACTTCCCAAGTAAGTGAAGCGGTCAACGTGCTCTACCACTTCACTTCCTATTTCTAATCTAGGAGTCAGTGTAATCCAGTCCTGTAACATTATTTTACACTTTGAGGGAGCGAATCGCATGCCAAACATTCGTAGATTGCAGCTCAAGGTGTTCAGAAGACTCTGCATTTTGTCAGCGTCCTCGCCTAGAAGGACTATATCGTCTGCATATTCTAAGTCAACGAGATTATACCCTGGTAGCAATGCAATCCCTGAGTCGCTGAAGTCATTTAGGGTTAAGTCCATTAGTACATCTAGGATAAAGTTGAATAGAAATGGGGATAATGGGCATCCCTGACGGACACCATTAGTTGTCACCAGTTCAGATGACAACTCGCCGTAAGCCCTCACCTGGCTGCATGAGTTCGAGTGGAGTGAGTGCATTGATCAGTGCAATGTATTTTCTCGGCATTCCCTTTACAGCCAAGCATCGCCAGAGTACCTCTCGGTCGACAGAATCGAATGTCGCCTTTAGGTCAAGAAATATAATGATTGTTGGACGCCGGTAGGAATGCCTATGTTGTAGAATCTGTCGGAGGGTGAAGATATGATCAATACACTCTCTTCCTGGCCTAAAACGTGCCTGGTTTTCTCGTGTTTGTGCCTCCCGAGCACCACTTAGTCTACGCAATATTATTGAGCCTAGGAGTTTAGATACTATATTAGTCAAGCTAATGCCTCTGTGATTATCACAAGAAGACTTGTCTCCATTCTTGTATATCGGGATGATCAGTGACTTACACCAACCCGATGGGACTTCCTCTGATTCCCAGATGGTGCCTAGTACCTTCGTTAACGCAGACAGCAAACTGTCTCCACTGTACTTGTATACCCCTGGAGTCATTCCATCAGGTCCTGCTGCTTTGCCTAGTTTCGGATTAGTGACAGCCTTAGTAGCTTCAGTTACGGACGGTGGACCTGTGTCTATATCCGATTCAGAGAGGTGTTGGATAGTGGGTAAGTTGAGCGTGGCTGTAGGCCAACTAGGCGACTCCTCATAGTGTTCTTTCCAACGTCCAATTCGTCTATCTTGGGAGCTAATTATGGTTCCATTTTTCTCAGAGATTGTTTCGCTTATCATTTGCCTTTTACCACCTGTTTCCCTGATAAGCCTAAATAGTTGTCTGGTGTTACCGATCGCCGATGCCTTTTCCATCTCTTTCGCTTTTGTCGCCTACCACTGATCACGGTCGTTACGAAGACTTCTGGTTAGTTTGCGTTTGATTAGCTTTTAAATCTCATCATAATCGGAGCTCACCGGAATCAGTCTTCTTGCGTCAATCAGTTCGGATGAGGTGGTAGAAATTCAGTGGCTCTTACTAACTTTTGGTTCTAGGTTATTAACAGCTTTTACAGTTGTGTTTACAGCTAACTGTATCTTGTGCCAGGCTACCTCAGGAGGAGTCCTGCTGTCAACCTCAGATACACGTTTGGCTATTTCTTTCTTAAATAGAGACTTAGAGTCTCAATCTAGTTGGGGACGGAACTGTTTCGCTGCCAACAATTTCTTATGTCCATTTAGTCGTAAGCATAAACGTGCGTGGACCAGAGCGTGATTTGAGTCTACGCACGTGTTCCAGAAGGAGCGACGGTCTTCTATGGACTCTCATTAACGATACCCTATCGCTATGTGGTTTATCTGAGTCCAGCGTTGATTTGGTGATGGAGGTCGCCAGGTTACGCAGGTTCTAAAAGAGTTAGGGGTGGACGAACGAAAACCTGGCATTAATTAGTCTATGAAATCTTTAACAGTTAGCTTTAGCCAGTCATGTAGGAAGGAAGCCAGCCAGGTTACGCAGTGTCCCTCTTTGTGCCTAAAGTTAGTTCTGACTAGGAACAGATGATTATCTGAGCAGAACTGTAGAAGACGATCATCGCTGTCGGCTCAGCGGCAGGGAACTCCATACGTACCACGTACATCTCAGTCTGGTACAAATTCCCTACTCGTTTACTAAAACAACTATATCTGAACGTTTTGCTTTTTGCAGCAAATTAGACAGTTTCAAGTAGGAGTCGTCCTTTAGTTCATCTGAACTGCTGTCTATTGGGGCGTAAGTGGAGACTACGAAAAGACAACGACGTTTAACGCTGTCCTTCCTTCTTCTAACGGACCCGTTCGGACGGACCGCACGCATACGGCTATCTACTGGGATCCAGTCAAGAAGGGATTTTTCTGCCCTAACAGTCAATGCTCCTCTACACCTGCGAGTCCTTGCGAACTAGCTGAGAGTCTCCTGACACCCTTAAAGTGAATTTTGCAGATTCACCTTGTTGGCCGGGTGAGGTTAAGTGAATGACTATACTCGGGCCTGGTATGCGTGTCTCCGAAACACAACATACATCCATGGCTTGAGATGCCAGAATTCTTGCTATTGATGCCTGTTGTTTGATTTGACAGAGGGTCCTGACGTCGAATGCTCCTATATGAATTTGACGATGTGGCTTTAAGAGGCTGTCGAGGGTGTTTCTATGGTTCTCGTAGTTGTTTGTGGTTACAGAGAGAAGTGAAGATGACTCACTAGCCTGAAGAATAGTACTGACTGTAGTAGAGGAGTAAGATGATGAAGGTGATGTGGGTAAAGGAGAATGATGTTCAGGGATCTTTCGTGTGCTCTTGGAACTGTGTGGGTGGTTGTTACTTCCCGGCGGCCCACACTGTGGAAGTTGATTGATTCTTCAGGTACCTGAAACAGGACGAGGGTTAGTGTTGCGTGACCGAAGAGCACAGGGGACAACTGCTTGAGATCGGTCACACACGGCTTGTATGAACTGGTTTCTTGGATTGGTTCCGTATTAGTAAACTTACCGCCGGTTACGGACCACCGTAGGGTTAGTCGGGATGTACACTTGTTGTGGTCGACATTTTCTAAGCCCCTCTCTCCAGAGTGGAGAGACAGCATTGATGGCATGCTGGTCATCTGAGGGAAACACCTCACTGTTGTTACATCCCTGTTCCCTAGCAGTACGACTTCGCCCACAGACTTACACTATGCTGGTAACTGCTTTTAGTCTAATCGCTATTCTAAAAACCTTCCTGGCATGGTAGAACCTGCAGGGACAATAGCTCCAGTCAGTGTAGCTTGTTGGATCATTGCGATGTGCAAGCCCGACTACCACGTCAAGGTAGCAGCTGTCGGTCAGGATTGAATTTCGGTACTTATTACTTCGTTTTGCACTATTTTGCACCACTTGGAACCAACAGTCTCATCAGTCGTTCTTGACATCCCGAAGACCCTAACCAGCCAGGTAGTTTACATCTCCCTAACTGTGGTCAACTTCTTTCAACCATTTTAGAGCTTATCAAGGTCTAACAAGGAAACGACATTACGGGAATAGAAGTGAACTTTTGGGAAGCTACTTTTGGAAGCTGCATGAGAACGAAGTAATAAGGATTGGATTTTAGCACTTATTACTTCGTTCTCATGCAGCTTCCAAAAGTAGCTTCCTAAAAGTTCACTTCTATTCCTGCAATGTCGTTTCCTTGTTAGACCTTGATAAGCTCTAAAATGTGCATCGGTGGCACAGCGGTTAGGACACTCACCAACCATGCACATGGTCCGGGGTTCGATCCCCGGCCGACGCACTCGTTTACCTCGCTAAGCCAGAAATAAAGCTGGTAAAGAGGGAAGGTTGGGCATGAAGCTAGCAACCCCATCCTGTAGAAAGACGCTATAGTCAGTTTCAAGGTCATGATGGGTTCCTGCGTCTGCTGGTTATATGTTTTCATGAATTCGTTTTCCATTGAAATTTA